AACATTCCTTCCAAATTTGCTGCTTGCTTATTGCAGATAGCTACAGTCTGAAATGTGAAAGACGTGTGTGATGATGCCTTAACCACAGGGTGTCGAGAGTGGTGAGCTGCTGGTACACCTGGGTGTGAGACCTTAGACAAATCGTCTACCCTGACATTTCAACTTCCTTACAGCTATACTCATCTACGAAATCTGCTCCCAAGACCTTCCTGAAGTGCTGAAGAGGAAAGAGGTCACTTTGAGGACTCACATGTGCCTAATCTAAGCCTTGGTATTTTTAATCGTGTTATATGCATGCAAAAGGTGCACAATGAATAAGGAAGACAGAAGAAGGACCTCCACATTGGAATTATGGTGTTGGCAAAGAATATTAAATGTAGAACGGACTGCCAGAAGAAAAACAAATCTGCTTGGCAGAAGTGTAACAAGAGTGCTCCTTAGATGCAAAGAGGATGAAGACTGACTCACATGCTGTGGCCGTGTTATCAGGAGGCCCAATCCCTGGAGGAGGCTAGCCTGCTTGGTGAATGACTTATCTTGTTAGGTGCTGTTGAGTCAGAACCAATTCAGAGCTGGCCCTCCAGTGTGTGTCCAGAGGCTATCAATCAATCATGTGGGAGCAAAATGCCCATCTTTGATTTATAGAGCAACTGGTAGATTCAAACTCTCTGCCTTTGGGTTGGCAGCACAACTCCTTACCTCTAAGCCATCAGAGCTCTAAGGGTAAAGTAGCAGGTCAGCAAAAAGGGAGAAGGCCCTTAAGGAGACCTTGTGCAGATGTATCCAGTGCACATTCTTCCTCCTCAGTCCAGTGGGAAGGACAGTGCCAGGTGGATGTGTCCCAGGTTCTAGCTACGGCTCTGCCCGCTCCTCGCGGAGCCAAATCAAACCAGAAACCCTGCCTGAGACTCTGGTTCTCCACCTCGAAAACAGAGAATTAGCATCAGTCAATGTGCTCTGGGGGAACAGCTACACCCTCCTGATTTGTCTGATTTGATTACAAGTCATCAAGTAACGCTTACTTACAACCTAATCTTCCCTCTTCACTTCCTTTCCCCAAACTCACAAACAAATGTCATTCAGGCAGCGCAGGTTTAAACTGCCCAAGACATTCAGTCGACATGGGTTTAAACTGCCCCAGACACGTTCAAATCAATGGCTGTTCTCACTCATTCTGCATTTCATCTCCAGCTAGACAGGCACCTTCACAGAGGAGTGGAACAGATGCCCCAGGAACACAGTCACTGGAAGAGGTCCACGGGGATTCCCCAGGTCTTGGGGTTGCTAGGGAACAATTCTTTCCCCTCTTTATTGGAGAGATTATTGCGTTTCTAAGCTCTTGGGGCTGAGATGTGAATTATCCAGATGCTCACCTGAATCCTTTCTCACTTCACAAATACAATCTCAGTTGTTTAGGGATAAAAATTTAAACGGCTCTAAAGAAAATATAATTTCCAAAACTCATGCCAGAGCTCGCTCCCCTCTCCCCTTTCTCTTCTTCCTCCTCCCTCCCCTCCTCCTCCCCTTGTCCCTTACTTCCCTCTCCCACCTCTTCCTCTTTCCTCTCTTTCAGACTTTGTTGCTGGTTTCCATAACAACAGCCCTTTCCTCACACTTGCCTTAGAGGCATGGATGGTGAGACTGCCTCACATACTCTGGGCTTGCTGTCAGGAGGCTGCAGTCCTTAAGACACCTCGATAGGAAAACCAGAGGGTCAGTGGAAGAGAGGGATCCTCAGTGAGATGGGCTGACACAGCGACCACAACAGTGGCCTTGAGTAATGGCATAGGATGGGGCAAGGTTTCAATCTGTGGCTGTCAGGGTCACCATGAGTCACAGACCACTCAATGGAATCAAACTGCAGCAGCAGCAGCAGCACCGATAGCAGCTTTCTGGTGGAGCCTCACACGTGACAGAACGAAGCACTGCTGGTCCTGGGCCTTTTTAAATATTATGACGCTCTCTCAAAAAGTTGGGAACAAAAATATCGTTTGACCCAGCAACGCCACTACTGGGAATATACCCTAAAGAAACCAGAACCGCCATCCAAAAGAGATATATACAAACCCATGTTTATTGATGCATTATTTTACCACAGCAAAGAGATGGAAGCACCCCAAGTGCCCATCAACAAATAAATGGATAGGAAAAACTAGGATATAATCATACACTGGAATACTACACAGCACTGAAAAACAATGAACTTGTAAAACATTACACAACTTGTAGGAACCTGGAGGATATCATGCTGAGTGAAATATCCCAGTCATAAAAAGACTAATACTGTATAACACCACTGTTACAAAGCAGGCCTGACATGGAGGGTGTTGAGAGGAGAATAGGGTAAGAATGGAGAGATAATGACTATTGCACTGGAACAGAAGGAAAGTACTCATTAAGAGGAGTATATGATTAAGCATTACATGTATGACAACAGCTCAGAATAAGACATACATTGTTGCAAAGAGGACTGGGGGGAGGGAGAGGAGGTGGGTAACTGTACAACAATGGATGAATATTTTAAAAAGTGAACTGGGGGGAGAGGTGGACAGGGAGGAAAAAGTACAACAATGAATGACTGGAAACTCTAAGTCTCCATAAACTTTCATTAAAATTAATTTAAAAA